CCTCAACGTCTGTCCCCTCAAGATACCACTCAGTCTCTACAGTCGTAGATTGCTCCAATCCAAACTAAATAATCTTCTTCTAAGTGACAAAGAAAAGGCTTCATAGGGAGAAAAGTTTGACTTTTTTACTGAATAGCAGCAACCCAGATTAGCTAAACTATCAGCTGACCATTATAGTTCTGTTGACCAAGACGCTGCAGATGTTACGGAGTGCCCAGAAATATATACTCAAGCAACTATGAAAGTGCGCATGGAGACCTCACAGCATTCTGGCCATAGTTGAGGACTGTAAATACCAATGAGTACAGGTGACCAGAGGATGACAATTTTGTTTCGTGACAACTTTTGAGCTTTCAAAATTAGTTTTTGTTCTGCATTGGCATGAAAATAAAATCTTTTGAATATTTTTGCAGGAGTGGGTTGGTGCTGGCCTGGGATAGAGTGCCCAGTTCAAGTCTCCATTCTGCCAGATTTGGACCAGAGTTTTTCATCCTCCATTACTCTAAATCAGGCAGTACTGGGACTTGATCTAGTCTAGGAGCCTAACCACCCAACTATAGACAAAGTCTCTTTATGACTCAAAAATCTTCCTGATAAAAATTTTATGGAAACAGATTTGTCTCTGTGAAATGTTTTGTTTGTGGTGAAAAAGTTCCTATCAGCTCTACCAAGGAGAGTGAAGAACTATTTAAGATGGCCTATTGGAGAGTGACATGCTATAATGGATGACACGAAGGGAAAAATTAAAATTATCAATAACAGTCTCCTGACAATCAGACCTAGCTGGCTGTGGAATAGTTTGCTAAAGTAAGTGGTGGAAGTCCCATCACTTGGGAAATCTAAAACCTAGACTGGTCAAGACACCAGAAAATGTACTGTAAGAAACAATCTTTTACTGCCCTAGAGATAGGAGAGATTACCAACAGGTGCTTTGTTTTTCTAACACCTACAGGATTTGTTTCTAGGAAGAGAATACACAAAGCAGAGTCCGGCCCTTTTGTGGAACTCAAGGGCAAAGGAAAATGTTAGCTCCTCAGGGGTAACAACCACATCTCTACACACACAGGGTAGCTGGAAAATACTCTAGATAAAATGCAGGGATTGCTCTAATACACTGCATCGTAGGACTTGCATCTTTAAATTATTTAACATGTTAATAAATTTCACTTGAATGCTCATCAGCACACAGCTGGCTGCTCTCTGAAGAGAATGGATCGCTTTTTATGGTTTCAACAAACTTTTTTAAAAATTGCAGTCGAAAGGGGCAGACTACATGTGACCCGTAGAGCTCCAGACACAATTCTGCACACAAGCTATACCACCCTCCCAAAGCAAGATATCAGATTATTCAAAAACAAGCCCATATTCTGCAGGAAATGACTTGTAGATTTTACTACAGGGGGCTATGAGTCATAATTAAAATATCTGACCCAACTGGCTGATCCCTGATGTTCCCCTTCCTATCCCAAGCATGTGATGCTGAAGACATAACACCACTGCAGTCACAAAAGTTCACCATGAAATTGAAGAGCTTGATTGTCATTTATACTAAGGCCCTTTTACATCCCTCCAGCATCCAAAGCGACCTCAAAGTAAATGTAAGTTGCACTCAGTTGAAGGCCTTTTTACACTGCCCAAGTGGTGTAAGTCAGAATCAGGCTCCAGAATGAAGGTGCTATTTTGGTTCTGAAGCCACAGTGTCTCCCAAGCAGAGTTGTTTTCCTTTAAGCACTTATTGGACAGGACAGTAATTCTGACACTTCACAAAACTCTAACAGATAAAGGCGACAGTTAAACATGTCTTCTGTTGTTGTAGCCATCTTGGTCCCAGGATATTAATGAGACAGGGTGGGTGAGGTAATATCTTTTATGGACCAAATTTTTGTTTGTGAAAGAAACAAGCTTTTGAGCTTCCACAGAGCTCTTCTTCATGTCTGGGAAAGGTGAGTTACCTACCTTCTCTCTCTAATGTGAGAGTGAGTCAAGTGGACAAAATACCCTACAGGCTTGGACTTCCAAATACCTGAATATTGCCATCTATGATTTGCATATGAAGTGAATCTCAGGGAGCAATTAAGTAGTGTGATGGGGTGTGAGGTGAGCATAAACTTGGAAAGTGTGGATATGACTGTTTGCTAGGGAAAAGTTTCTAGGCAAAGCACATCTTTCCTCTTTTATTCTCCCTAATGCAATCCAAATCTTAGTGCTTTGTCGCTATCTCTTAACTCCCAGGTCAATGCCCTTTTATGTTGTCTAGTTGCCTCAGTCTGATCTGTGAGCTTTTCTTAAATTTCATTTTGCCACTTTTATTTGAAAAAATTATGACAGGCATATAGATGGAATATATTTGTGGTAAAATTCACATTGAGTTGGAACTAGGATACTTATAATTATTTGTACCCAAACAATTTAACAGTATAATTTTCCCCCCTCTGATAAAAAGGATAATTTCAGCTTATTGGCTGGCCAGTGTCTTGTACTGCATCAGAAGAACAGAATTATATAAAATCAATTGTTACCATCGTATAACACCGGAGTAATGAAGCGGTAAATCAGACCCATAGCATCTAGCCTTTGATGCTCTTGTCAAGTTGTTCCATGCACTTGCTAATCCAGGGCAGTAGCAATTCCTCAGTATCCTGTTTGCTCTTCACTAAATAATGGTAGGTTGTACCCACAACCATTCATCTATGCAGAACATTTTCTCTCTCAAAATCAATGAACGTATTCCTAACTTTAAATACATTTTAGGTCACCATGATGTCTCTTCTTCCCCAGTGGGAAAAGCTGACAGCTGCTCTAGACTTTCCTCTTTACAGATATTATTAAAATGCAAAATCATTCAGCTCTGTGCGGCATCCTGTTCACAGCAGGAATAGTGTTCCTATAAAAAGGTGGCAAAATCTGAATACAGAATTCTAGATCAGGCATTTATGCTTTCAACTGTTAATAGTCACACATTGTGTTCTTTCTTCTCTTCCATGCTGATAAATTCCTGTACCCATATCATAGAGGATTGTATGTCACTAGTAATTTTGGACATTAGTTAATGAGTGAAATTTGTTAAACACTATTTACCTACATGCTGAATGGCTTATATTTTACCACAAAACATGCACAGACTCAGTCCTGTTAATATTCTAAATGACTGCACAGACTATATCATTTGTATATAAAGCTACTTCTATCCATCTGTTAAAATGTTCATTCACTTCCCCTTCATTCCAGCCAGAAGTTTACTTCTATAAATAAAAATAAATCGGGTTTCTAGTGTTGAAACATTAGTTAAGAAATTTGATGATCATGATGGTTTAAAAAAATATCAACCTGTTTTCACATCCATTTAACAGTGCTTGAAATTCAGACTATGTAAAGAAAGACATTGCCAACTTGGCTATGTTGTGTGTATTTCTCCTCAAAGTGTTTGAGCATATTTTGTGATGAAGTTGCACAACTGAGGTTCTCATTGGCTTGCAGGGCCAGGAGTTTTGGAGATTGTGAAGTAGCCAAAAGACAAATAAATACATAATGAGAGCAGCATTGAAAGAAAAATGCGTTGGAAACAACTCAGTTTGGGTGAGAGACTAGTAAATGGATTATGAGGAGGGAGTGGACAGAGGTAAGTGTGTGGGAGAGGAAGCGTGACTTCAAGACAGAGAAGAAGGAGGGGAAAGGCAGTGTGGACTGTGAATGGGAGTAGTGGATGTGGCGAGGTAGAGGAAGGATAGGAATATTCATAGATTTTTAAGGCAGAAGCAACCATTATGATCATTGAGTCTGACCTCCTATCTCCTGGAATTATTTATCATTCCATCAATTTGTGTCCTCTGTAAATATTACCAGCAATGATTTTATATTAACTTTCACTATTGTAAAAGAAATCGAATAGCATTGGACCAAGAGCAGAACTCTGCAGGGCCCCCTTACAAATGCCCCCATTGGATGATGATTTCCTGTTTACAATTGCTTTTGACGAGGAGATGATGACAGAGGTATGACTGAAGGATTTGAGAGGATGACAAGAAAAGTGAAACAGGAAGGAAAAGGCTGTGGGAGAAGAGAGTAACCATATCCATGTGCTGGTCATAATGTGGTGGAGAGTAGGTAGAATGGAAAAGTGTAGGTTCGCTGAGATGGCCTATACCTGAGAAAAACTTCAGACTGAAGTACATTTCTGAGGAACCTGGTGCCAAGCTTGCTGACACAAAGATTTCCTCTGTTCAGTGTCTAACTCTTAACTCTTTGTTTGGATGGCAAATTATAATTGACTAAGGCCTTGGCTACGCTGGCGCTGTACAGCGCTGCAACTTGCTGCGCTTGGAGGTGTGAAAACGCCCCCCCCTGAGCGCATCGAGTGCAGCGCTGTAAAGCACCAGTGTAATCAGCGCCTGCAGCGTGCTGCACGCTCACTCGCAGCACTGCAAGCTACTCCCCTCGGAGAGGTGGAGTACTTACAGCGCTGCGAGAGAGCTCTCGCACCACTGGTGGCGCAACTACACTCGCGCTTCAGAGCGCTGCCGCGGCAGCTCTGCCACGGCAGCGCTGTGAATTGCCAAGGGTAGCCAAGGCCTAAGAGAGAGGAAACTTTAGTTAGTTGTTCAGGGTTTGTTTTATTTTTAATGCTCCAGACTTGCCAACTTCTTTATTTAGGAAGCTGGTCTCCATGCTCACTACCTTCTGTCACACACATTTTTAATCTATGTCCTTGGCATCCTCCTTATTCCCTGGTGAGTTTCGCCATTTGCTTTTGGAGGGTTAGAGCTCCATTACTTTCTTTTACATTTGGCATAATTTGCATTGTTGAACCAGATCCTCAGCGGGTGTAAAATAATGTCGCTGTGTGGACTTCAGTGGAGCTACACCCACTGAGGATCTGCTCCATATTCTTTTTCATTACATGGTTATTCTAAAAATGTCCCTGTTAAAAAGAAAGATTTGTTCCTACAATGTCATGACAAATATTGCATCAGAACAGACCTTAGGGATATAACTTTACTTACTTGTTTGTTCAAAAATATGTAGATGACTGGATTGTAGACTGTACTACTTTTTGCAAGGACTGATGGAATGATGCTGGCGGACGGCGTAATTAGACCAGGTTTTCCAAAAGTAGCGATCAGGGCCATGATCCCATATGGCAGCCAGCAAAGAAGAAAGCAAATTACCATCACAACCACCATGATCAGTACATGTTGCTCTCTTGTCCGGCCCATTCCTTTAGTAACACCACTCACCTAAAATAAAGAAAACAGGATTGTGAAAGAAATATTAACAGTGTGTATAATTATTAATGCTAAATATGGGGGGAAATATGTCTGAGTTACTTGCATTAGCAGTTGTGGCAAGTGGCCGATGCTACTGTAGTGGGTCCTGCGCTTTTCCTTGGTGTGGTGGGTCAGGATGCCACCTCTTGCCCCTATTCATGGGCATCGAGGGCTGTGCTAGTGCCCCGGTAGAGGAGAGGTGGGGAGCAGGGAAGGGACCCAGGTCTGCCCCCTTACTCCAGGTCCCAGCTCCTTCAGCTTCATGGGCTTCTTACCCTTTTTCCCCTTGGGTAGGGTTTCCCTCAGTCCTCTGTGCTGGGGAGTCCCTCTGCTCTGCTTGGGCAGGGCTTCCCTTCCCCTGGTCCTCTGGTTAACAGTGGTACTCCTCCAAACTCTAGTCAGCTCTCCTTCCCTCCTGCTGTCTGACTTGGGCTCATTAGAATTAATGATGGCCCCTTTCATCCAGAGGAAACCAAAAGCCATCTGCAAGCTACATTTGTGTGTAAAATGTGCTAAGGGGCCTACCCTAGGCTTATTGCACCTGAATAGCAGTTGTTGGACAGAAATCCAGCCCAGTGTGCCCTTGGGCGCTAGGCTGTGTGAGTGTCTAACAGGTCTGGTCTCTTGGGGCCATGGACAGTCAGTTTGGTGGTAAGGTCTGGCTCCAGCATCCCCTGCTCCTTAAATGTGTGATGCTGTTTGTTAGTAACATGTTTCAGGGGAATAGGGAAAGATGCCAACTGCTCATCTGTAAGTGCATGGAGATGGGGAACACAGCTAACTACTGAAATGCAGCCTTCTCAGGGCAGAACTGGGCAAATGTTGGCAGCCGAGAGCAACACTAAACTGCTAGGACCTGGAAAATACTTTAATCTGGAGTGGATGGATGTACAGGGGTAATTTTAGAGAGGCACAATGCAATTTTCCTACTTGGAATTTGGCTGGGGTACCCTGGCTAGCCCTCCAATGGGCTCAGTCATCAGTTGGTGTAAGTCTGCAAAGCTCCATTGACTTCACTAGTTCAACAGAACCACTCTGGCTTACATTTTTAGGGGCTTGAGGCCACTCCCATCTGTGGAGAGTAGAGGTCCATTGGATTTGTAAAGCATCACAAGTGGTCAGTTCTAAAGCTTTGCAATTCCACCAGCATAGAATCAATCTTGTACCATTAGTGTAGTACTGATCGAAAAGGGATCCCTACTACTTCCCCATCATTGCTTCCGGGTCAGGGGAAGTTGTATGATGTTGCTAGAACGATGCACAAACTTGAATGAACTATGTCTCATTTCTTACTGGATATGCTGTACTCAAGATCCATGTTTCTCTGCCACTGGACTGCATATCTTGATAGTGCAGTTTTTGAACTGAAGGCTGTGTCTGCTCTAAAGTGTATTTGATCACAGGCAACTGATTTAAAAGAGGATATAAAAATTCTAGACTGCAATGAGTTCTGGATGAGGCCTGACGAGATTTGAATGATGCAGTTAACCACAACATTGGTGCTTATGTACTTTTTCATGAGAAATCTAAAGTGACTGAGCCATAGTTTTCCTGCTTACAGTAAAATGAGATTAAAATTCCCCCAAAGTATTTTTATTTATTTACTTATTTACTTAGCTTTATATTTTAAGCCTATAGCTCTGGCAAAGTAGATCAGATGCTTCTACTCAGTCTTTCTCGGGAGACAAGAACCAAAAGACTGCCAAAATTGAAAGATGATTAACTTAAAACAGATAAATAGGAACTCCAGGGGTGTCTCACCTTAACATGATTGAAATTCTCTTCTGCCACCTGGGACCAGATGATAAACCTCTCAGCTTCTTGTACGTCTAATAACCCTTCCCATAGACTCCCAACACCCATTCAAAAAGCCACCAGTTCCCTGTACTGCTTAGCCCCCTATTGATAACTGTCCTGTTGTACACCCAAAAAAAATCATTACAAATTCCTCTTCAATTTTTTCTTCTAATCCTTGGTACCTCTCATCTCCACATCAGACAGCCCTGCCCCTCTGAGCCCTGCCACTGGCGACAAATTCCATCCCTTATTAGTCTCTCATCCCTATGTGAATGAGCAGACACTGTTCAACCTTCACAGAGCTGCTGCCTTGATCAGATTAGGTAAGGTTTATGAGACATAGGCTACATCTACACTAGGAGTTGGGGGGGGAGGGGTGTTTCCCAGCTCTCATACACATACTTGCTCTGGCTCTCACTCAGCTAGCGCTAGTATAAATAATAGCCTAGTCGTGATAGTGCAGGTAGTAGCAGCAGAGGTGCTGCTAAGCCGTGTCAAGTACAAACATGCCTGAAACTGCCCTAGTTCATAGCCATAGACTAAAATCAAGCCCATCCCACGGACCTCTCAAACTTTTATACAATCCATCAGTTTCTTCCTCTATGCCAACAATAAACCTTCACCACCTCAAGAGAAACATTTTATTTTGTTACTTATTGGTGTATATTTTCCAGATGAGGCACAGAAATTTAGCCATGCAACTTCCACTGATAATGGGAGCCACAACGATGAGTGCTGCATCTCTCCATGAAATGTACCCTGTAACTACAGTAGACCCTTCATTTTTATTTATTGATTTATTTTGGAACACCAACTTTATGAACAACTAGCTATATGGACCATTTTTCATGACAGGAAGGGGTATGGGTGTATGTGAAATCATATAATGAAAGGGATGTCAATGAAGAACAAGTGGACATCCCTTCACATGTCGATGCCTCCAGTGCATTAGAAATTGCTTTGTAGTGGTGTGAAGGACAAGAAGAAAGTGATGCGGTGCGCCACACTGCAGCTTGTGCATCATACCTATGGAAATTTTAAGAGGGCCTTAAATTAGAAAAGTTCCTAAAATGGAACTCCTCAGTCCTCAATCAGTTTGTTACAATAGGGGTTCTACTGTAATTAAATCAAATGAAGGCACTTGGCCAGATCCTCAGCAGTGCCATGAAATCTATGGAATGAGACCAATTTACACAAGCTAAAGGTCTGATCCCAATTTGGGATTTTGTGCATTTCTTTTTTGAAACCTAATCTGTTGCCTAGTGACATTGTTTCTAAAAAAGGAATCATTCTAAGACATACTTAAATACTATAATTGTACTGTGCAACTATGATTAGCCTATGCTAACAAACATTATAAGAGATGCAAGAAATGGATGGTTCTAGTCTTTTTTTCTTAAAAATGTAATGTAGTTTCAGGACACACATTCCATCAGAATTTACCTCAGAATGCAGTAGGTTTTTTAACTGACAATTAGATTGCTAATCACATATATCAATCTAAAACTTCATTTCCACTATAAAGGCAAGGATCAGTCATTGCAGTGGCTTGAAGGCTATTTAGTACTCTAACTCAAGTTAGAGTGGCTCACACTGGTTACAAGGTCAGGCTGTAATTTGTAGATGCCAATATTCACAATGTATAGTACTTTAGTGCCAGGCTTACTTAGAACATGGAAAGGGACCTGCTAAGCTTGACAGAAGCAAAGGCTGATAGACATACAGCCGTTCTCAAGGGCTTACATTAATGTGAAGGAACAAGCCAAGCCTTACAACTTTGTTTACTGTATTCAAGACTGAAAACACATTCATTTTACCCTGACTTACTCCTTACCTTTTCCTGTGCAAAAATGATCAAATAAAAAAAAATGATAGTATATATCAGGTATTTTGATCCTACAAAATCATTCAGAACTTTGCTACCTCAGGACAGAAGACAAGGAAATGCTAGAATAGGTTTGCCAAGTATATTGACTGAACCCCATTCTGCTTGCCAAGACTAATCGGAACTGCTTCATGAGCTAGCTATTATAAATCAAGGTCAGCTCAATCTCTGGAAGGCTGAGAGAAGCAACCGCAATGTTTTGTAAGAGAGTGAAAGGTAAAAATCAGATCTGGAAGTTGGAGAGGAAAGAAGAGACCCCTCAGAGTAATGTAGGGTCCTGCACATCAACATGTTCACCAGCGTAATAATTTTTTGCTAAAACCATGAAGCTTTGGGACCAGATCCGAGTCCTATTGTAGTCAATTAATTTTGCATTCAGTGTCACTGGCGCAGGAGCCCCCTTTTAGTTTAGCTAGGCCCCTTCCTTCAATGAGATCCACTTGAATGGACCCCACAGAGCCCCTTTGTCTTCAGTGGGATTCCACCCAGGTGAATGTGAGCATCCCATTGCAGGATTAGGGTCTCAAGCACAAAGGGAGCTGCTTCTGAAGATCCTTATATGCACACACAGCTCCACAGGTGGATCTCTTTTCAGGGTGCATTAGAGGCCTTGTACTTCTCAGCTGAGAAAAGTCCAGGGACTTGGCAGGTCCAGGGTTACTACTGGCATCCTTTGCATGGAGATCTGTCTCACTGAAATGTTCCCTCAGCAAACTGTCTTAACAGCAGGGACAGGAGTAAATTCCAGATACAAACACCATGTTACAATCTCATGAATTCAAGGGCTAATCAGCATTTTTTGTGGCATTCTGCAAACTGGAAGCTTTCATTAATGAGGAAGTTACCACACTGTCTTCATATTGTGATATGCTGCTGACCTGTTAACCCAGCCTTGCAGGAAACGATCTCTGGAGGCAACCTTTAAGAGTAGCACAGATGAGAGAGCATCCCTCCACTTCTCCATTCCTGCCAAGGAGCTGTGAACTTTAATGCTTAAATGGGACCACTTAAAAGCTATTAAGCACAGGAAAGTTCTCTCTCCCCTCCCCATCACACCTAACTATCAAAACATGGAGGAAATTAAATGTAAACAGCTCTGTTAATGCCATGTGATGGTTGCACAATTAAAATTGCAAATAGTAAGATCATGCAAAAGGTTTGAGAAGCATAATTTGATTGTGTTCCACATACGTTCCATTGTTTAATCATGTTTCTGGATAAGGAGGTACTTGTGGCCTGTACTGTGCACTGATGAAAAGGAGCAGAAGAGGTGGAAGGTGCCCTGTTA